TGTGTGTGTGTGTGTGTGTGTGTGTCGCTGCGCTCACAGGTAGTTGGCCAGGTTGTGCTCTTGTAAGGTGTGAGTTTCAAACCCGTGAGGCGTCCGATCGAAGTAGTCGTTCCCGATGCCACAGATGAAGCATTTGGTCTGAAAGGAGAAAGAGGAACGAGGTTAAACAATAATCTTCAAACCTCCATCGAGGAGGAGACAAACAAACTCTTCTCATTTGTGTGTTTACGGCACATTTTATACATTTTAAATAAAAACTTTATATTATTGACTCTACTTTTAGTTCCTCAAACATTTGGACAGGACAGTTTGTTCCTAGCGGACGTCTCAGGGCTTCAGGTGTGAAAGCATCCACACATCTGTGCATCAGCTTTTATAAAAAGATGTTCCTGCTGAAATGAGTGACTCCGTCTCACCTCCATGTCCTCCTTCACCTGCTCCTGCTGATCTCTCAGCTCACCGAAGGCGTCGATGATCAAACCTGAAGGAGGAAGCGACCGTCAGATCAGACCGTCTCACACTGATACCACTCATGTGGCAAAACAGGAATCACTGAACTTTACTGAGAAGTTTTCAGGTTTTTAACACCGTGTCTGTACAAAAACATTTTTTATGACACGTTACTTGTGTTTCCACCTCGTTTTTTAAAGCCTGAGTGTTCTGAAGTATTCAGAACACAACCGAGCATCTTATTTTTTTATAATTAGACGATAGATGAGCTGAAAAAGTTTGTTTACCTTGAATGATGGCGAGCAGGATGACGATGACAAAGAAGAAGAAGGTGATGTCGAACAGGATGCGATAGAGCTCGTAGGGGTCTCCGGCCGGGTCCTCCAGCTCGTCTCCAATGCCACCGCCAGCCCTCACACCGACGTACATGTGGAACAAGTAGCACTGCGGAGAGAGAAGAGGGAAAGAAACTTGGATTCCATCCATCCAAACGTCGACATAAGATCAGCAACGTGTTTTAAAACACAGACGTAGTCGTGTGGATGCAGCGTCACGGCGTCATTTCACTGTGTTTTCAAACTGAAGTGATCAGACGAGCGTCTTCGTCTCATTCCGAGGAAACCAAGGATGAAAAATAAAAGTCTCCTGAACCAATCATCTGTTGGGAAATGTTCTAAAGTGTAAAGTGACAGATTCAAGTTCATTTGCTTGTCGGAGAGTTGTCCCTCCAGATATTTAATAAACTTCCTCCGCAGTGTCTCCCATTAATAGATTGAGAACATAACTTCGACTGTAACCACGGCCCGAACACGCTGCACCTCACTAATGGAAAATACTTTGTGCTCAGCTCAGTCGCCTCCTGAAAAGGTTGAACATTCACAGTGACGGCCTCAGGAATCTTGTTCGGCTCCGATCGCGTGTCCTTGCCGACAGCTACAACCTCCGCCTTTTTATTTCCACAGAATAGAAACTATTTTCAATTTTCTCTTAGATTTTTTAAAATGAATTAATAGTGAGTAAAGTTTCTCACCTCCACCGGGGGGGGGGGGGAGGTTGTGTTTTTCACCCCCGTCCCTTTGTTGGTTAAATGACTGTTTGGATTTTTATAAAAAAACTTAGATATTCAGAACGGATTCTCTGTGAGTGTTGGTGCAGTTTGATTGAATTGAATTTATTTACTTCCTTCAAGCTTTAAAATGTGTTTTTTTATCCAAGAGAAAGTTTTGGAGGTTTTGTGTCGTCACCAGAAACTCTGGTAAGTTCTCTACTGGATGATCGTCTAGTTAACTGGAGAACTTTTCACAGACGATTAGACTTCAGACATCAGAGCTGGTCGGACTTACCGTCATCATGTCGTCACACTTCATGTCGGGCTCGTCCTCGTCCTCGCTCTTGTTGTAGAACTTCCTGAAGAAGTTGAAGGCCACCACGGTGTAGAGATAGACGACCACAGCCAGCAGACCCACAGTCAGCACCAGCTGGGAGACAGACAGAGACAGACAGAGACAGACAGAGACATTAACATCTGCTCTGACGTGTTTCATCAAGATCCACAAATTATTCTTTGAGGAATCAATGAAAATGTTCCTGGATCCACTTCATGGATTCGTGAGTTCTTCCCTGACCCACAACTCATCCAGTCATTTGTTTGAAAACACATAAAATCCATTATTGACAGATGATGAATCTCAGTTTTGTGATGAATGAGACAAACAAATGATGAGAGACGTCAGTTTTCCTGCTCATCACCTCTAGTTAATATCAGCTGAGCTCTCTCTCCCCACCTCCTCCGTTCTTATTCCCTCTGAGACAGAACTTCTTCAATCGATGTAGTTTTTTTTTTTTTTTTACTGAACTGAATAAATACGTGTTCTTCTCACAGGGAAAAGTGTTTCACGGACATTATCAAGGTTCTTCAGCTGAAGAGAAGATTTCATCAGGCAGCTTTCATTAGTATTCAATGACTCTGGAGACCTTCAGGAAATCAAATTCATATCATGGCAGGACATCTACATGCCCCGGCTCCGCACCGCAATTTACCTCTTTGTTATTCCACATTTTGAAAATATGCACAGCCTCGGAGAGAGAGAGACGCTCTGAAACTTTTTTGTCTGATGGATCTGAAAAGATGAACTCGAATAACTTTTCCAAGGACGTCACCTGTTCCAGCTGTGTGGATTTTTAAACTCTTGAGTTGAGGGCGAAGTTGAAAATCGAATCCAGTCGGACGTGTTTCATCTTTCTGAGCTGAACAGACGCGGTTTTCAACACAACCTCTAGTTTTATGTGCTGAAAGAGAAAGTAGTTTATTTTTTACTAAAACTGATTCTGTAATATAATTTCACCAGCTCAAGGTATTTTACCAAGGTTGTTATTTATTATTATTATAAGTTCGAATTTAATCTTGAAAGTTTCACTTTATTCTCGATATGCAAAATAAAAAAACCTTCTTATTTAGTTTGAACTATTTCAACTTGAAATTCCAAATGGAGAAAAACTCTTTTTTCTTAAGCTTGGCCCCAATACTCCAAATATAACTGTGGATATTATTGTAATAGTGTTTAATTCTATTTAATCTGTTTCTTGTGAGTTCAAGCATTTGGAACAATTAAGCTAATTATTCAAACTGTTTTTGTTTGAGTAACTTTTGACATATTTTCTACACAACTCTTTACTTTTCTTCACCATTTATCAAACTTAATTACAAGAAAACAATTTCAACCACTTATTAATAAATATAAACTAATTATTCAATTTCTTCAGGGTTTATTTTAAACTTTTCTGTCTTTTTTTCCCACTTTCATCACAACACATTGTTCACGTTGACTATCTGATGCATAGTTTTTACAATTAAACTGAAGTTTCCTTCTTTTCCTAATCTACAATCTTTCAAACTAACCCTGATCAGAAGTCACTGTTCATTTGGCTTCATCAACAAATTCTATGACTGAACTTCTGCAGCAGAAGCAAATAAACAAAACTAGATTCAAGTTTCATTTTTGAACAAACAATTAAAAAGTGTGTTTGACTCCAGACTCCATTTGTCAGAGCGACACCACACCCTGAAGATGAAACAGAAAATCTTTTCATTTGTATTTGAATGTTCGTCTCATGACTGATTATTGGATGAGTGTTTATAAGACGTCCACTGTTTCTATTTCCAGGCTCCGTCCCCTTTTCCACAGGATAATTTCTTGATTTGATTACGTCTGTGTTCAGTATGAATCATGACGCTGGTTGTTTTTCTGTCACTGAGCGGACGTAGACGCATATTATTTATAGAAAAGAAGTGACTGTGAAACGAGGCCTTAGAATCTGTGTTTGTCAAGAAACTAGATCAGTGCTTCCACTCCTTTAAATCCTCTAATTCTGAGGAGACGCTGAGAAAAGTGGGAAATTAAAATTTTTAAGAAAATGTTTTTCTTCCGCACAATGTTTAAAGGCTGGAGGGAGTTTCTTATCTGTGCTCTGGCTCCCTCTGCTGGTGGAACCACTTGCCTGCTTCCCATTGTGAGTGACGGAGGACAGGATGGTGCGGAGCGTCTTGAAGCCCATGGCGATGTCCAGCAAATGAGCAGCGAAGAAGAAGTTGTTGAAGTGTCCGAAGATGGACATGGTGGTGTACCAGATCAGATACAGGAAGGACTGGAAGAAGAGAAACACACGTGTTAGTGACGACAGTTTTAATGATGGTTGACTTTTTAAAAACATTTTCACGTCAGTAAAGTAATAATAAGAGTTTTTATACAAATTAAATCAAACTTACATTGTCGGTCAAAACTACTCCCATTTTCCAGATGTGATACTTCGTATCGATGGAGCTCAGCCTGTCGGGGAGAAAAACAAAACGTTGATGAATATAAAACTCCAACCCTGCCTGCACATACACCAACACATTGTGTACAAATACTTCATGACATATAAATGAAAAACACGTCTGGCCTTTAAGGAGAATTGTGCAAACAAGAGCAGCTTCTCACCAGGAGACCAGGGAGGCTTCTTTCTCCACAGCCTCCACCGTGGGGTCAAAGTCCAGAGCGCTTTTATCCAGACCCAAGAGCTCAGCGATGCGTTCAGCTCCGTACATGTCGCCATATTTGTTGATCACCTACACACAGGGAGCGGCAAAGGTCAGGTTCATCTCTTGATTTCAAATGGAAGGTGATTAGTCCTAAGCTGCTTTCTGACGTGCACTGAACTCGGTTTATCTCTGACATGAGGTCGATCAGCTGGAACTACCTCATCAGCTTTCAGGGGAAACTCATCATACACGAGTTCTTGACTTTATAAAAACTCACCTTCCGCTTGATGAACTTGTCCCAGTAGTTGCTGGGGAAAGACCTGAAAAAGAAAACAGAATTATGTTTTAGTTCAAGATGGAAACGTACGACAATAATACGTTTATATTAAAGCACAGTTGCCGAGCGAGCTTCGACTCACGGCGTATTGATGACGAGTCGATCCCACTGGCCCTTGATGTCATCATCGGACGGCTGCTCGGTGATGTAGAGGCCGTCAAATTCAAGCTTCCTGGCGATCTCCTTCTCCCTCTTGAACACCACCAGAGGAACCTGAGAGCAAAAACATTCAGTTGATCGATTAAAACCGTACAAGGGAGGAAGATTAGTCCGACTCTTGAATCAGCATCACGAACACACTCACCTTCAGATAGTAGTACCCGACCAAACACACAAGCGAGATGACGGTGTGGAATATGGCCAGGAAGCGCAGCGTTGGTAACATGTAGCCGGTGCTCTCCTGAAGAACAAACTCATCCATGTCAAACAACGTGTTCTCGTCGTCCCCCTCCTCCTCGTCGCCGCCCCAGGTGGTTTCATCGTCGACTTCCTCTTCAGCTTCAGCGGTGACCTGAGGAGCGAGATGTGCAGAGTTTCACATTCCCCGAAGTGCTTTCTGTGGTTGTTAGTAACCGGAACACTGAATTCAAGGAGTTCAGACGAGGATTTTAAAGATGGAAGAAGGATGTTTTTGTAATTCCTCTGCGATGACACAGCAATAAACAGAAATATAAATTCAGCAGCAATTAAGACGAATATTTGTGCATAACTTGATCCAAAAAAAAACTAATTTAAACTGTATAACTAGAACTAACATTTGACAAGTATAACAAAACTTTGTTTAAACAGTTTATATTCCTTTATTGTGACAGGAAACTTTTTATGTTGTTTTTATAAATAATTTAAATATAAATTCTTACAGGGGTTTGTTGCTGGTCATCAACAACAGAACATTTCTTTAGAAGAAGGAAAAAGAATCATTGCTTCATTTTATGTGTGTAATTAAATGATATATATATATATATATATATATATATATATATATATATACATAGGATATAAACAACTAATGAAGCAATCAAACATTAAATAAATACAAGAACTTAGATTTTTGCCTCTGATTTGATCATTATTGATAATTCTTTTAATTTGATTTGATAAATTTGTGAAATGTGAAAGAAAATAAATTTAAACTTCTCATCGCTTGTTTAATCAAAACCCCAGAATTCAAATATATTCATTTTACCATCATGTGTGACAAAGAAAACGGATCAAATTCTTCAATTTTTTGGTTTTATAGCTTAAAAAAAAAAAAAATAAAATGGTCAAACTATTTGATGAATCGTTTCCTGTTGATCCACTAATAGTCTCAGATGAATTGATTTACCTTGTAGAAGAGCAGGATGAAGTTGATGGCGAAGCACACGAACAGAGCCAGGAAACGCAGGTTGTAGAAGTTACGAGCCAGGTAGTTCTGTGAACAGACAAAGGGACCGACTGATGACGACTTCGTTTCTGACAATTTACATTTCAGATTCTACATAAGTGAAGCGTCAGAGCTCACCAGCATCTTGGTCAGGTAGATGTCCAGAACGGCAAAGATGCTGGACATGAAGGCCGGCGCTGCCTCTTTAGGTTGACTCGATCTGGTCTTGGGCTTCTCCTCCGTCACTGGTTCCTTTGCTTCCTCCTCCTTTGGCTTATCCTCCTTCTCTGTGCTGTATCAGTCATCACAGTCATTTCAGTTCACAGTTCTTTTTTTTTTTTTTTTTAATACTGTACTGATGATTATTTCAACCGGCACTTTTACTCACTCTGCTTTTTCTGGTTCACTCTCGGGGGTTTCGACGGGTTTGGCGGCAGCTTTCTGCACAAAGAGTGACGTGCATGACAATGAGCTGAGAGACTGGGTGGCGGTGAAAACAAAAACCAGGTGTCTAGAGTTTGAAATCATTGAGACGAAGTGACAGAATTCTGACTGCAAACCTTTTTCTGCTCAGTGCTGGATATTTCTGCGCTCAGCTCCGAGACGTCACCCAGGCCGGGCTCCACGTGTTTCCCTCCTTCCCTTTTAGGCGCCGACAGCATCTCCAACATCATGTCCACCTCTGCGATGTCTCCTGCCGGCGCCATGGCTGTGTCCAAGCTTCCCGATAACTCCACGGCCTCCACTTTCTCCCCTTCTACCACATCACCATGGATACCAAACTGAGTCGGGTCAGGCATGTTTCCGAGGATGTCCGTCACCTTTATGTTCTTGGCGCCCTCCACCAGGCCTCCGCCGAACATGGAGGACCAGATGAGGTGGAAGAAACCAAAGACGAGGCTGTAGATTCCTTTAAAGAAGCCGGTGAAGAGCATCCAGAAGAAGGAGAAGAAGCCGGTGATGATCTCCCTGATGCTCAGTTTCTTGATTTTCTTGAACTGCTTGCGGACGTTTTTAAAAGAAAATATTTGGCGGACGTTCGCTAACTTCTTCTTGACAGAGCAACAGGCGGTGCTGAAGGCCGAGGCTGACTCCGAGGCGCCTCCTTCCTCTCCAGCCAGCTCCTCTAGGATGTTGTGTACCTCCTCCTCTTCCTCCTCCTCGGGTTGTTCCACCACGTCCGGCTCAGAGATCTGCGAGGCCAGCTGCATCTCAAAGATGGTGTCCTCACAGAAGTTCACAAACATTTCCATCTTCTCGCTCTCTGTGCCCTCGTTGACCACATCAAAGATGAACTGACGCTTGGACTCTTTGACCTGCGGCTTCTCCCACTGCTCGCGGCTCGACTCGCTGATCTCGAAGTAAACCCTCTCGATGCGCTTCGCACTGCCCATGATTTCAATACGACCCAGGTACGGTTCGAAGTAGCTGAGCACGCTCTCCGCCAGATCCAGGAAGGTGGCGAGTCGAGAGTCGTGCGGCATGTGCTCCGACAGGTTGGTCAGCAGCACCGCCACGTTGAAGCCGATATCTTTGGCCGGCTCGTGGAACCGCTCGACGAACTCCTTGTAATTAAACATATCGTTCTCATCGGCCTCTGCACACGAGAGCAGGAAATCGATCTCTGACTGGCTGTACTGTTTCTGACTCTCCATGGACTTCTGGAACTCCTTCTTTGAGATGATGCCTTTGCACTCGGGGTCGTACTCCCTGAAGTTTTCGGAGGTCGTCAGATCCTTCAGTTTGAGGAACATGTCAAAGAACTTGAGGATCATCTCCACGTTGCTGGAGGACTCCATCAGGGTGTCGACCATCTGCTTTCCAATTGTTCCATTCACCACGTTACCTGAGGAGGGAACGGCAGTCGTCACACACCACGCACTGTCGGATCATCTCAGACGTGTCGAGGAAGTCAGTTTCAGGATCTTACCCTCCAGCAGTGACAGCAACATGACAACCATGTCCTTCTGTAAATCCATCAGCTCCTTCAACAGCTCAATCTGACTGGCATCCTGCAAATAAAAGATGTTGACATCCAGACGCATTGTTAATTGAGTTATCTACATGAGGATAATCCATCACCTTCGTAAACTAGTTTCATTGTACATCTATGAAAATGCACGGTGACGGCCCATGATGCTGATTGACGCCGATTCTAGAGGTACCTGTGTGATCTGTGAATCTTTGGGAGTTTAAGTACCAGTTCTTTTTCTTCAAATACATCTCATAAATGTTTTATTAGCAGCATTAAATTTGATTACGTTACCATGACCTTTTCTAAGTGCAGATTTTTTTTTAGCTGTAAAACTGAGTTTTTTAACAACCTCAATGCATATTTTTGTCATTTCTGTACTTCTGGTAACTTTTCCACTCACAATCGCAGTGAGGTCCAAAGGTCTGAGACCCTTGAATTTGAGATGTCTCGTCTAGAACTATGAATTTTCATCTCACCAATGTATGTTACAGCCACAGTGGGTTTCTTATACAATGATTATTTGTCAGAAAACAGGTTTTTATTGACGATGCATCCTCTGAGGCTCCGGGTTTTTCAGTGTACCTGTGATAGTTTCATCTGCATGTTGGCAAATACATGCAAGAAGCCAACAACTGCATCCCACAGTCTGCTGTGAGCCAGACTCTGCTGGTTCCCAATACACGGGCCCTGAAAGGAAGAGAGACAATAGGAAAGAGGGAAACAAACAAATAAAATATGTGATAACAGTAAACTGAGTCTTTAATTGTTGTCTTCTTACCTGAATATACTCAGTGAGCGAGTTGAATATCTGCTTGGCGACAGATAAAGCTTGGGAGAAGTTGACTTTTCCAGTCTCATCAATGACCTCCTTGCCAGAGTAGTACCAGTAGAAGTCACTGATAGATTCCTAAAGAAGGGGATTGCATCGGAAACAGAGGAAATGAACAGTGAGTGACACGTACGATGTGATAACAACGATGACACGATACGACACTCACCTGAAGACGGAGCAGATAGTCCACAGTGCTGATAATGATGTTCACTGTGGTTGTGTTTCCAGTCTGGGTTCTCAGGAAGTTCTGGAAATCTGACAGAGTCGAATATTTTTTATCCTCGATCTTAACACTTCCTCCTCACCCTTGCATTCTCTTGCGGTCGACTGTCGTTTTAATGAAACACCGTACAAAATAAAACACACGCATAAATTCAACCTCACCTCCATTGTGCCCCTCACAGAGAAGTTGCAAAAACCGGAAGAGATCTTTAGTAAACTCATCATTCTGTAGCACCTTGGAGCCTTGAGAGAAAAGACATCTTGGTGAATACAGCTGAAACAATACACAGGTGAATTTAAGTCTGTACTATTATAACACAGTACAAGTGTCGGCTAAAATGTAAAACTCCCCTCAAAAGCAATTAATGAGGCAGGCAGGTTTCATGTTCAAAACATAATTGAGGTCCAGGGTCTTTAGATCCAAAAAACTGAATCCAAAGTGCGTCTCATAAAAATGCTCTTAACATTAAACAGTGAAACTCAAGGACATTTCCATAAGCTGGAGGAGGCCTGATAACTTTCACATGCAGGCCGCAAATTTGGCCTGTTGAGAAATAAAAGCAGCGTACGGACGTGTTTACAGATTTCACTTTAACCAGCTGATCCAGTCTACAGATCTATACAGAGATGCGTTTCTGTGAGCGGATAAAACCATGTGAAAGTTCGACTTGTGTATGGAAACCAGCTTTGTGAAATAGGCCCCAAGTCCAAAGCAAGACAAAGCTTTGCTTCAGTCAAACCCTTGGGAGGTGGCACTGATAGACTTAGAAAGACAGATTTCAGCATCAGTATTAGGATTTGCATTAGTAATTGTTAACATGAAGGGAATGGGAACAAATATCACACAAAAGAACAGGCGATGGATTCTCATGATCCTTTTTTTCTGCGTGTAGCATGCACACATCTGTCCCTACACACATCTGGGCATCTGGGAGGAGGGGGCGCGGTACCAAATAAAGCAGGGGGTATGGACCACAGATATGGAGGAGACATTCAAGGTGGAAGCATAGCCATATCAGCATGATCTAAATTTTCTATTTACCCCGCTCAGTGTGGACTGCCATCGATGGTTTTTTTTTAAATGACAGGAAGGAAACAAACAATACACGAAGACATAAGCAAAAAGAGAGGACATCGAGTTACAATACAAAGAGATATGAATATATCGACTACGAGTGAAAAACAAAGTCATGCAGTTAAAAAAACTGTTTTTAGACAGGGGGGGGGGGGAAATCATAGGCCTGGGTTGTGTCTGCTGCGTCTCACAAGATGAGAATCAAATAAGAATTCAGTCATGGTGAAAACTTCATCACAGTAACAGACACGAGTAGTAACAGTGAATTGTTATACACAGAACCCGGTGGAAATGTTTGGCAGAGGGCTTGATGATGGGGGGGGGGACGGACATAGTTTGAGGTGAAAAGCGTCAGGTGAATGTTTGTGTTGAGAGAGAAGCTCTGGTGTTAATGCTGGACCATGTCTGTGACTGCAACGTCTGGATTTATTCTGCTCTGCAGACGACTGGACGCCTACAAACCGCCGATAAACAAGAATACAAGCTGGACAATTAAGTGTTTCATGATAAATTAGGCTTACTCACAGATTGTATATAAAGAGGGACGACATGTCAGCTCCAAGAAAATCACTTTTATACAGTTTGAGGAAGTGATATGTCGTCCATCTTTATTTACAGCCTATGGGTTTATTTCTGCTCTTTGACTAAAGAGGACAACATTAAAGACACCACAGTGACGACTTCAGTGACTTCACGACTGAGGCACAGGCAGCAAACTACTCCTAATTATCAAAATTCACATTGATAGCAATGTCATTTTGATTGTTTTATAACTACTGAGGCCATACACGCTTACTTATTAGGAACTATAGCATTTTAATAAGTGCTTTGAAAGGACAATGAGGTTATAAAGTTGTCATGGTTCAGCATTAGTTGAGAGGAAAAAAAGGGAGAACATTTTGGTTTTTTTTGTGATCAAGAGTGAAAATCTGCTGTTTCAACAGGAATCTCCTGAACAGCAAGACAATGACGGGGGTCTTGGAAGTCTAAAAAGAGAAAAGAGGTAGAATCACAAGCTACTGATGATTCTCTTCACTTACTTGACCCTTCATCTGTCACCATGCCAAGACCTTCTGCTTTGTTCTGCCTCTCAAATGCATTCAAGTCCAGGACACTGAAAGAAAGAAACAAGAGTCAAATTAAATTAGTTGAAGTCTGAACAGAATTCATGTTTTTGTTTCTGCACAGAAACAGTTTTTATCACAGTACCTGCAAGACTGCATCAGTCCTGAGAGACTCTTGAAAAACCCAGCATCTCTTTTTTCTTTCAGGTAATCAAGCATTTTCTGCAATAAAGGCATTACATTCTCGTTGACATTAAAAAAAAGAAGAATAACAGGGATAAATAAATCAATATTGAATTTTCCATCTGTATTTTCTGACCTGTTGAACTCGTACGTTGCCTCCATTTAGGATGGAGATCCCCAGTTTGAGGGTGCATGTCACCATGGGGCCTAAACGTCCTGATGACAACAGAAGAAGAATGTTAAGACGTAACCTACAAATGTAATTGAGGGTTCAAAGACTGACACTGCAGATTAAATCCCTGCTTCTGCAAAAATAATCAAATCTGGAATTTTTTATGGGTTAAATGATCAAAATATATATATTTTTTAATTGAATATTCAAACGATCAATCCCTTTAAACTGTTCTGACCATTTCGATAAGGATGATAGTAGATACAAGTGTAAATCGGCTGCGTAGCTGACCGGAGAACAGATAATGATCACCTTTACTGGCGCTGATCATCTGCAACACCATCTCAGCTGCCCCGCGGGCATGCAGCCTCGCCTGCTGATACAGGATCTTCTGCTTTTCCATCTCTTTCTCCTGAAATCCAAAAAAATAAACACACACAAGACTTAGAAACAGAGACGTTTTTAACAGTGTGATAAAATCGAATGAACGTTAGTACCTCAAATGTCTTTTCTTTCCCTTCTTCCTCTTCCTCTTCCTCATCCTCTGCACAGCTCTGAAAACACAGTTCGACTTTCAAAGCTCAGGTTTCATTTTATTTAGTAGTTTAGAGTTTTACCAGAATTATGTATCGGAAAACAGGATTTAAAAGTCCTCTACCTTTGCCATCATGTCTGCATATGCAATATACAAAGGGTCTTGTTCCAAGTGACTGAAAAAAGTTAAGTCATGTCATACTGCATTACTTTCTGTGTATCGTTTTACATTGGCATCTTATTGTCTTTCTAAATTGAAGAATTTAAAATTCAATGCTCGCTGAAGCTCGGTGGTTTAACTGCCTCACCTTCTCTCTGTCAGAGCGTTGTGGCTGAAGTGGAGGATGAGCTGATGAAGAGGGTCAGGCTGGATCTCAGCCACCTCCTCTTCCTCCTCCTCCACAATCTTCATCGGGGTTTTCTGCAGAAGTCCACAGATGTTAAACAGTTAGCTCCGCCCAAGTCTCATGCGTTAATCCCAGCACAGCTTCTACTCTTCAACATTTTCTTATATCTACGTTAACTCACAGATAATTGTGCCCATTCACACATTTGTCAAAAACACTGAAATGGGTCATTAACAATCAGCTAGTGCCAGCATGCGGATGAATTCATCTCCTGGTGATCCGTGGCAAGGACAGGACCAGGAAGTAAAGAGTGGATGATGAGCAACATCGGAACCAGTTCTCTAATTCATGCATGTTAGCAAACAGATGCAAGCAGTGAGCCATTTGGTGATATGACGTTGAACATGAAGAATGAACCTGAGAGTAGAGTCCAAACTAATCCGACAATTAAAAATATTCTTCCTCCTGACAAGAACAGCTTATCTGATAATTATGCTTTTATATCGAGAGCCGTCTTTTATTCTTGCTGGATGGCACAGTTTCTGTGTCTTGATGAATTTTACTGCACATCTGGTACAAAGATCTGATATGAAATGTGGTCTTCACATGACTCCGCGAGCATGCCACTGACGTCACTGCCACAAAACGCACTGTAACGTCACCTTCACACTACAGACTTACAGAGTACAGCGAAAGACAACTGGATCCAGATCTGACAGCCAAACAGCTAGTGACAGTCTCCTACTGTAGTGAAAGGCCCTCCTTACCACTGCTGTCAGAAAGGCATAGCCTGCTTTTCTAGAGCTGTGAGCGCCGGAGCTGGCCCTGTGTCTCTTGAGTTGGTCATGCAGCCTCTGACCCCTGACGGATCTCTGTTTGAAGGGTTTTGCACGCCTAGAGCGGGGGCCCCTGGGCGCTTTGGGCGAGGTCCCCCCCCGGGCGTGCTCCCAAGGCTCGACAGGCGCGGAGCTAAAGAAGCATTCGGCAGACAGGACTGGCAGAGGGGTGCCAACGCAGGGCACGCGGGGCGAGGGCAAGGCGAGCCCAGTACTTACTGCCAGATCCTGAACTAGCTTCTCCTCAAAGGAGTACTCCTCTGCCTCTATCCAAAGTCTCTGATAGGCCGGGATGAAGAAGTTGATAGCGCGATGCCTGGGGAAGGGGGAGGTGAGGGGAGGTGGGGAGGAATGGAGGGGAGTGGGGAGGGAGGTACAGTGGCGTTAGGGTGGGTTCTGGTGAGTTTTTGGAGGAAACAGGAAGGAGAGATGTAGGGAGGAGGAAGGGGTTACAGGAAGTGCATTTCAGGCAGGGTGGTGATTGGTCAATGTGGGACCCACTGGCTCTTCTGACTGGTCACATTTGGTAACTGCAGTTACTTCCATCTGGTTTGTAAAATTCATTAGAGAGCATGCACACTTTAGGGGGGAAATGCAGTTTTCCAACACATCAGTGGATCTGTGAAACAACGTGAATTCCTTTCTAGTAATTTTCAGATTTCAACAATATTTTCCTTCACAAAGTTGTGTTAAAACAAAACTGCATAACCTTCGGCAAAATGTCAGATAAAAAAAAAAACAAATCTTTATAGTATCAATGATGCAAAATGACAAAACAACTGTTTATGTATTACTGAAACCAAACAAATAATGTTGTAAACCAACCGGCCAACTTATCAAAGTCATACAGTATTTAATAGATTTCTTTCTTCTTCTTTTTCTTTCTTCATTCCTTCCTTAAGGGTTCACCTGAAATGAAACAGAGGCCTGCAGCTCGCAGTGTTTCCACTTTCCAAATCGGTTTGTTTCCATCAATTCTTGGGCTCATACTAGCTGACCAATCAGAATCAACAGTGCAGAAACAACTGGTTGCTAGGCAGCGATCGGTCCACAGCCTGGTGGATGAAAAGGAGGGGAGGAGGAGGAGGAGGAGGAGGAGGAGGGGGGTTGAAAAGATGAAGCATTCGCCCCGTAGTTTCACTTTACCGTCAGCAAGGAGAACAGGCGGTCAAAGCTGGAGGCTTTGAATGCCCTTTCCAGCCAAACCTCCCGATATCCATTCAGGAAGTAATTATTATTTTTGTATCTGAGGGAGGATGAGGTTGTGTTATGCAAAAAAAAAAAAAAAAAAAAAAAAAAAAAAAAAAGAAAAAAAAAAAAAAAAAAAAAAGAACAACAACACAGAGAAGAGAATGTCGTTAGGGAGGTGATGAGGGGTTTACATGGGCACACAATTAAGAAAGAAATGCCCCACCCCCCCCCCAGTGATTACTTGGTGATTGTTATGTACGGTTAGATTGAGACTCAACAACATCTTAACTGGGTTGATTAAATAGATAATGTCAATATTTAACATTGACATTGTAAATCAGTTCTATGGGTGTGAAGAAACTCACCGGGGCAGATTGTAGAGTGGAGCCATACGGAAACAGGCCACCACAGCTCGCTTACGCTGTTTGGAGAGCAGCTTCTGCCACACACACTTCTTATTCCTCAGAGGCTGCTCGACCTACGAGACACATAAATAAAAAGAGCGGAACAGTGCGACATTTACAATGAAAAGCATCGGAAGGGTGTTGTATAGAGCAGGGGTTTTCAAAGTGTGGGAGAGTTAGCCCCCACTCGGAGAGCAAATAGATTTACTATTACTATTTGTTATAACTTTCACCTCTCTGCCCTACAATAGGAGGGATTCCTGTTTTTACCTGCTCCAGATGGAAAACTGCAGCAGAGATGCTCTGGACTCGGTTCACCGAGTGTTCCGGGTTGGCGGGTTCCTCGCTCTTCACCACCACGTCCTTGTACAGGTCCAACTGCCACTGGACCGCTGGATCATCCGACTACAACACAGCAACAGTCAAATCCATAAACAGACCACAGAGAATTACACTTGTGCTGATACATCTATTATAACTTACTTTGTCCTGGAGATGGAGATTCTGACGCAAGTGCTCCTTCACCTCATCATCTGTGTCTCTCTGTGAAGGGAGGGGAAGTCATCATAACACAAAAACTCAAAAGCAGTTTTGATATTATACATTAAAAAGAACTGTTGTATAAATACTTTATACTCCACCAGAATAAGAATTAAAGTTGGTAAAGGTGTTTAACTTTCATCAGGACATTGTTCTGTGATTAAACTGATTAAAAACCACAGAGACTGAAGCTTTCAATAAGTATTTCTGATAGAAGATAATAACTTTGCACTCCAGGAACTTTTAATAATTAACTTTGTTAGAACTTCGATTTGAAACTTAATTAAAATGATCAATGAATCAAATTATGAGACCAAGAATAACTTGAGAGAATATCAGGAATAAGAAAAAAGATTAGATGTTCATGGATCTCACACATAGAAAACCAGTTATCTAAATTAAGTTACTTATGTAATGCTGAATCCGTTTCACCAGATCGTATTCCGTCATCTTACCAGACTGTAGCGTATCTTAGCCAATGAGATGAGCTCCTGGTCACCGGGGGTGCACATGTTGAGGCCGATGGGCAGCATCTTCTTCAAGGCAGCGACGATCAAAGACGTCTGGATGGAGTAATATTCCCCACGACGACGCTTATGTTTCCTCTCCTGGTCCCCACCTGACTATAAAAACAGACAGTAAAACTTTATTGTCACACATTGTTACTGTGGCTCAGAAAATCTGAAGGTCTGAACAAACTGTAAAGCATGTGGAATAAACCAAAAGGTTATTCTTCTTTAAATACATTTAAGATTGGGTTGCACCTTTTCGGCTGATCTGAAAATGTATTAACATTTAATTTTTATTAACCATTCAATTTTTTTTGTTTTGAAAATTCAACTCTTTCTTTAGTCTGTGGTTGATATTTCTAAATTTAAAATAACATAACAGGCACCATCGTCTATGATAAGACAAAAGCCTCAGGGCTCAGGAAAGTGTGTTTCACCTTAAAAACCCTGAGTGAGATAAATCACATCCTAGAAACCTCGACCGCCTCAACATACACGATCATGTCAAAACATCCCAAAAGAGCAAATAAATAAAAGCTCCGACTGCCAGAACAAATAAAAAAAACACATCTCACGGTGACAGGCAGTTGAGCAGCTGCTGGACCAAACACTGTCAACTTCCAGACAAATGACCGACGACAAGCGTCCACGTGAAACCTCATATGTTGTAAATCCTCGTGCGGAGGGGAAGTTAAGATGGTGTGAACTCAACGTTTTAGCAGCACATGACAGGGAAATGATTAAAAACACAGGAAAAGTGCTTATGTGGACTTGTGTCTCTGAACCGCGGTGCCAAGGACGGAATGGTTGGGGGTGCCGTCATGAAGAATTGAGGTTGTGTTGACATGGTGAAGAGGAGAGAAGCGAGAGAGATCTTAATGAAAAGCAGAGAGGACTGAGATGCACTATGCTCCCTCTCCTGGGCTCATGACATCAGGACAGATTTCATCCAACATGAAGACATCTGTCTCTCTGAAGGGACTAAACTGTCTGACTTCGATAACTTGGATATTTCTTAGGTGGTTAAAAACACGTCTGGTTTACAAAGCTGAACGTCCAACCCCCACAAACTTCAGCCGACAGAAGATTTTATGAGAGTATAGAAAATAATTTATTCCCATGGACCCTGTGTGTGTTTTATCCCACATATTTACCTTGGACATCTTCGTCTTGCCTTCTTCAGTCAGGAAGCCCAAATTGTTGATTTCATTCTGAACCACATAGTTTTGCTCCTCACGTTTAAAGTTCTGTATTATATATAGAAAAGAGGTTAATTAGGATGTAAATACTTCAAAACCAATTCTATTGTTTTATATTTATATATATATATACTAGATTAAAACTGTGAAACTCACATGGGACTTGCACCAGAGGATAAAGATCTCAGCCACCATCCTGAAGAGCTCAGTGGAGTATGCGTCAGGCTCCTTCAACCACCGACACCTGGAGCGGAGGAAAGACAGAAACCAAGGACGAATGAATTACAATATGTTTTTTTTACATCTGCGGAGGAAAACAGACGACATGGAAATGATCTCAATGTAAAAAACAGAGAGAAAGAAATACACATTCACTCTAAACAACCCCAACATCTTCAACTAAAAACTCCTTCTCACCAAGTCTGCATGTTTGTCGTACCTGTTGATATCCACGTATCGGATGAGCATGGGGTAGAAAGCATAGAGGTCCCTGCAGAGCACAGCGAACTCATCCAGGATGAGCAGCTCAGCCTCCTGGTTGTCACCTTTACTGTCGGCCTTCAGCAGCTCCTCCTCAGCCACAACCTGCAGCACATCGACAGTTTATCAATTCAGCGGATTAAATGTCTTCAAGAAAATGTTCTAAGATTAACACTCCAGGTTCAGCAGCTGTTAAAATCAGGTTGTCACTGAGCAGCGGAGACAATGTCAAATTGTAAAAAGGTGTTCGGTGTATTTAAAGCTCTCACCTTCACCGTCTTCTTCTTTAATTTGTCCAGTGTGGGCAGGAAGTGGGTTCTCAGCAGATCTGCCCCAGCCTTGCAGATGATTGGCTGAGAGTAAACTGGAGACGGAGACAATGCACACGTAAAGGAATCAATTTGTCAAATCCTCTGACATTACCTGACCTCCCCAACGAACTCATTACAGTCCCTGACTTTGCAAGTTTGGAGTCACCCACCTGCAATCCTCTTCATCCAGGGAGCGTCATCAATGCCCAGGTTGTTGTTGAGGATCCTGAGGATATTTCCCAGGATGATGCTGAGGTGTTCAGACGTCACCATGGTGCAGCACAGGGCATCTGGAGGTGAGTTCTCTGGACCTTTCTCCCACCAGTAGGAGAGGTAGTTACACAGCATGGGGAGGATCACCTCAATGACCTGCATTGAAGTTCAACACGAGATGCTAGTAAAAACACCCTGCACTTATTGAAGTACAATGAATTATATCCTCATCAATTACTTTATATTAATAAGATAACACCACAAATAGGACGTCAAAGATTTTAACTAGAATTCTGCCTCAGCCTACAACTCAAGTTGCAAGAAATATGGTCCCGTCTCTCTTCTGAGTCACAGAGCGGAGTAATGGCCAGAAAAGTGTTTTTGCAGAGAATTATAATGTCACCTTGAAGTTGACCTTTAACTTTTTAGATATGAACTGCCATCGTTTTATCCTGTTTAAACACTAATGTGAAGGTTTGCCATAATTTGCAAATAACTTCTTGAGTTAAGGCCAAAAACTTGTTTTTGGAGGTCACAGTTACCAGATGTAATTAAACTCCCTTCAGTCGTTTCTAATATATCATGTCTACAAGAAAATGGCACAGAGACGTTAATAGTTAGAAATTCATGGTGCAGAGGACAAGACATCCTGACGTTAGTCCCTAATTCCATTAAAACACGAAAGGAAGTGAATGTCTTTGTGGATCCAGCCGCTTCAGATAAGTTTGCATACATTCAAATACCCCATCATCCCCTCAGACCTGTGGCATGTCACAGTAGCGAGCACCAGACTCTGAGACATCATTGACATCTTTCAGGAGTCTTTCAAGATGAGGCATCTCCGGACACATCTCCACCACCGTGTCCGGCATGCTGAGAACTAGAGCAGACAAACATCAGTCGCTCAGATTAGACACAAACTGTAACCGGCGAATATGGATTTTAAAAAGGAGACGGACACTAAACATTCATATTCACGGCATTACGATGATCTAAATTTAAAGGAGGGTCAGGTGGAAACTCACTGGCTCTCTCTCGGGGGGTCTTGGTGTTGAAGACAGAAAGTGGGTTGTGGGCGTTCAGGTGGGGCTCCAGGAAAGCTACAGGCATGGCTCCCACCAAGGTTGCAAGACTCTCACCCAGAGCAGGGAGATGCCTGAACATACAGGAACGAACAAAAATAAACACACCGACAAGAAATTGATGCATAATATAAAAAATGTAAAGTCTTCTTCCTGTTTAAAAAGCTCTGTGTGTAGCAGATGTTGTCAGGGAAACCTTCAACATCCACATTTAAAGAGGGCCACATGGTATCAGGACTAATTTAGACCAGACAGCAGAGCTCAGGTTGGGGCCAAACCTGTCCACCGGTTTTTTTATAGCTTGAGTCAGCTCAAGGTGAGAACACTTCTCTTCCACAGCACATTTTGGGAGTTTTTTTAATTGATGTTTAAAAGCCAGTCGGGGAATAATAACACAAAATTGTGGGTTTTAATGAAAGCCACTTCCCAGGGCTCTTGTGTTTCTCTTCCGTCTGCTGCCTTTGGTAATAAAAAACCTTTTCTTTTAATAGTTTTCATGAAAAATATTCATTTGTACCGTTATCATCACATGGGCTGCCATTTCACACTTCATGAGTCCAATGCTCGTAGGGGGTGGAAGTGACAGCTTCTATTCATCTTTACCAGGCAGGGACTCAAACATACAAAGTTGCTCATGTGTAGAATTAAAATCCATTTTACATCCTGTTGTTGTAAGTTTAACAAATGTTTGGGCTCGTACCTCTCCATAAAGGGGTTCTTTCCTGTTCCCAGAGAATAGAAACACGTCAGGATTCGGTAGCAGGACAGCTGAACGTCATCCACTGAAACAAAAAAACATTAAACATTCATTTATTTTCCCAGAAAACCGTGAGATTATAACGAAAACCTAGAGACGACAGACGGTGACGGACAGATAAATAGTTGATGATGGTTTTTGACAATGGTGGGGATGTTTTTACTGGGTGCATAAATAATGGGCATGAAAAGTGTTTCCAGAAGATAAATTCAGTTTATCAGATGAGTTTTTATTTGTTTAAAAAAAAATCAGAAAAGAGGACAAGAAGAAAAAAACATTTTCAGACAAGGACGCAGAGGAGGTCGTATCTGTTTTGTGATGCTTGGAAATATAACCATAAATATTCATGAACTTTTCTGTTGCTCTCTTTTATGTATTCATTTGATGGTTGTTTTTTGTTTTTGCAACAAGCACTGCAAATGCAAATAAATGAAAAAACATGTCCGCATATGAAAACAGACTCACACAGCAGGTCCACCCCAAATTCATGTGTCCTGATGTGTTCGAACACAGCGGTAAGGATGGGCAGCAGCGCCACCGTCACGTAGTTGATGCTCTGGCTGACGCTCTTCATCTGGGCCCGAGACTGCATGAACTTCCCCAGTTTCAGCATCTCCAGCAGCTTCTCCAGGTCCTCGGCCGCGTTCTCGAAGAAAGTCTTAAACCCGGCTTTGACCAGCTCCGAGCCGGACTTCATCACCGTCCTGAGGAAAAAGTATCGAGCACAACGGACTCATTTTGAACGGAAATGACTCGTTTCAATCAGGAGAGTGACGTTCGTGACAGAAATGTCAACGTCATGAAGCAGTGCTGACACTCCACTAACCTGGTGTCAAGTGAGTGAGTGATGATGTGCAGACAGCTCACCATCATTGCCGAGTCACTCCCTGTAAGAGAGACGCTCACTGTAGATATGAAGACGTTCAGAGCAAAGAGGAACAAGCACACAGACAGAGGCTATGCCGACCTTACCGAAGAGAGAAATCCTATGTCTGACAAGAGCTGCCAGTTTACAGAACAGGCTGGAAAAGAACGGAAGAAAAGCAGGAAAAGAATTGGATGCAAAGAGAACAAAGCAAAGCACAAGAAAGAAAAGGTTTGATGAAAGTTTGTATTTTTCATCGAGATTCAAAAGGGATGAAGTTTATTACAGGAAGGAAAAAAACCTGACAGGGGAAATGAATTGCTTTTGTACAGTACCTTGTGACCATCTCTTTCTCTTTGTTGGAGGCACAGCCGCAGCTGCTCATGTTCTTGCTGGGCGTGGACAGGAAGTAAAGACAGTGGTTCTTAAAGGTTTGATCGGCCAGAGGAAGCAACACCTGGAGAGAGGAAATGCAGCTATTTAGATGGAAACTTTGGGAATTTATCGTTGTCTCATTTGGAAAAAAGTGTTGATGGACTTCCAGACCTTGGCAAAGAACTTAATTTCCTGGTCATGAGGTGATTTGTCCGTTTTCCCACTGGTGGCCATGGCCTCTGGATTAAGAGCGGGGAGATCAGTGTCAAGGAAGATTTCAAATCAATGTACCGGACCTGAGTTTTTTAAAAAAATCACACACTCACCCAGGTGAGCGATGAACTCCTGAGCAGAGTCGATATAGTTCAACATCCTCTTGAGGAACTTGAAGGAAAAACGCTTCTCCATGGATGACGACTCCTGCTCCATGTCCTTCAGACCTCTGAGGTGAAAAGATCAGAAATTAAATCTTGTATTTTTCCCTGAGTCAACAATTTGCTAAACTTTTAAAACTTTGTGCTGTTGAAACATGAAATATTTCAGTGACAGGAGACCTTGTGATAGCATAGCCACTGATCTGCAGAAACTTGAAGAGCTCCTGGGCCTTCTCTCTGTCTCTGTACTTCTCTTTAGCCGTCAGGGTGTCATAGGGAACCAGCAGCGGGTGGGTCCCTCCTCCTGGAAAAACACATGTCACTGGTCAGACAGACACCGGCTCAAATGATGACGTGTGTTTTCAAACTGTCCGTGTCCCTCACCTTTGCTAACGAGCTCAGTTTTCTTCTTCTTGGCCCAGATGTTGTGGTAATTTTCAGCAACCACCTCCACCATACCCTGCACACACACACCACAACGTCAGTATGTTTGTGTCTCAGACATGTTTTATTTTATGGCACGGTACAGAAGCAACAATTACTAAGTAGAGTCAAACACAAACCAACCTGTAGTTCTCTGGACAAAGTGACATTATGCAGGTCCATCACAGCAGGACTGAATCCATTAACCTACAAGGTCAGAGAGAGTGAAAATATTTCCCAGATTTCCGTTGCTGATCATATTGTTAGACATTGAAATATTATATCTGTTGCGACAAACACTAGAGGGTTAAATTGATCTATGAGAACAGAAAGTAAATACAGCTGCAGGATACTTCAAAGTTCAAATTGCAGCAGCTTCTCAGTGCGAAACAACAGCGATGCTTTTTGGTATTTCTGTGGCAACAAAAAACATTTCGAGGGAAAAGTTTAAGTGATGCTATTATTCAAGTTATTAGCTTTGTTGCTTTGCTCTGTGGAAAGGAGCAGTGTAGCAATTCACAAGTTTAATGGAGTCCCATTTAAAATTATCTCCACACGGTTCAAAAAGTGAGGATAAATAAAACAAAGAAGCAGCTTTGTGACACTAATATTGTGTAATAAAGGTGAGGAGCAGCAGCGCAGTGAGACGTTACCTGAGACTCCGAGATCTTTCGTTGTTTTTCGCTCTCTCGCTGTTGGAAAATGGCTTCGCCCTCCTTGGTCCTCTCAACGTTCCAGCCCATAGCCAACATGCTCTTCAACGACTCCCTCACTGGCCAGCGGTATGTTTCTCTCTCCTGCATGTTGAACACACAAACATTTTACTTTTGTCACTTCTCATCGTCAGATCAAATCCACGCAGCTGTGGCAACACGTGAAAACACAAACAAGTCAAACACATCTGAGCTAGAATTAAAAAAAGTTAATTAGAAAATCATTAACCAGTTTCATTCTGTCAAGTTTGAGCCAATTAGTCTTCACAACAACCAAAACTTTCATCCTCTGGCAAAACTTGATGTGTGTAGTCGTTATTTTCTGCATTAAAATACATGTATCACTTATTCTGCTTGTGGCAGCAGCAGCTGCACGTGTACCGGTGTGCACGTACCTTCTCACTCAGAGCTTTGTAAGCTTTCAGCAGCGGATGGGTTTTATTCTGCTCATCCATATTGTCTCCGTGTTTCCAGCCGGCTGACACCTGCAACACCAGTTCATTACACGCACTTCAGTTATACAAAATCAATTACATAAATACAAATATACTGCGCACGCTGACTGCTCAATGCATGCTAGTGTACCAGAAACAAGGTAAAGTACAAGTACAAGTTACCATTTCATGGCATTTTATATAGAAACACCCCCCCCCCCTATTTTCTGAATACAAGAGTCATTATTCATCCTCTGTCAGCACGAGGGAGGAAGATACACGAACCACAGCACGGCTCACCTTCTCTGAGGACCACTTGTCATGGGAATGCTCTGCATATTTGTTGGCAATGTACTCAAGTTTTTCAGGAAGGGAGATACTGGAAAGAAGAGATCATGTTTAATTACTTTCTGTTAATACAAAGGCAGTTGACTCGTATACTGAGCGGGGAGAAGCTTAATTTTTGTATTTGTAGACAAATTTAATTAAAAAGCTTGTTCTTAAACAAAGGGCTGAGCCAGTTTGTCAGTTATTAATTCCAACATCGCTCCTTTCAATCCCCTCGGTTTCTAGAGATAGTAAGAGCCTTTCCGAGTGTTTTGTTTTCCAGAGCACTCACTTGACAGTGTTAATGGGTTTGGGGTCAAAGTTGCCCTGTGCATCCACTGATGCCTGTTTCTCCAGTGTTGCCCCGAGACTGGCATCCACGAAGTCAGGCGGCAGGGCTCCGGCGATAGCACACAGACAAGACATGGCCATTTTGAAAAGGTCGGCGTCGTACTTCTATAAAAAGAGACAGATAGGGCAGAAAGGAGGGTCACAAACTTTTTATCCCACTATCTTGTCTACATTTTCTTACGAAGAGGTGTCTGTTCAGATCATTAGATTGATAGACTGAGCAGAGCAAAGCCGGGGGAAGAGAAAGAAAGTAGGAAAAATATAAGAGAGAAAGCTGGAAAAGTCTGCACCGAGCGATGGCCTGTCACAAACTGATAAATGATTCATCTGTTTTTGGATTCGCCTCAGCTGCACTGCTCACAAGCACTTCATTGAGCTTTCGCTTCACTACCTCTGACTAACAAGAACTTTTCTCTCAGGAGAGCCACACTCGAGTGTGGAAAAGTCAAGATTTTCAGAAAACTGAACATAAGAAAACTGCAGCACACAGAGACGAAAGCTTTGTGAGAGCGAAAAACCACCGGAAAACATTTAGTCATGCAACAGAGAGCGATATAAGGAAAATATTGCCTGTGTCTCTAAACACATCAGATGTAATCTCACAGATGGAAAGTGACAGATACAGAAAACACAGAGAGGTATACCAGATATCCAAAATAACCAGCATAGGAAATTCTTGGTCCTTGCATACGCTGTCTGGTTATCTTAATAAATATTCGATAAAACTAGGTTGTGGTTGTACCTTCTGAGAGAGCGAGTCAAAGATTCCCCAGAACAGTTTCTTGGTGAGGAGCAGCTCCTCCTCGGAGGCCGTGCCAGAGCTGCCCATACCAGTCGGCAGGCAATAGTACTTCCAGTTTTGCTCATAGTGGTTGGTCATCAGCTACAGAACAGAGATACGAGACAATATAGGGATTAAAATTAATAATAATAACACAAATTGGAATCCGATGATAAGAGTACTTCTTTTAATTAAGAATAAATTCAATGCAACATGAATAAATGCGTAGTGGATAAATGGGGAATGAAATATGGGCTGCGTCTGTCACTATTTTAATTATCCCATAAGTCTTTCAGCTACTAAATCCAACAACTGTGACAAGACATCGTGACCAGTGTCTCACCCGCAGAGGTATCTTGCAGTATTCCGTCAGCATGGGAACATCAAACACCAGACGTCTAAGCAGCTGCTGCATCATGGAGGGACGCAGATGCCTTAGAAAGGATTTAATTATTATATTATATCATGACATATTTAGTACGGAATACAAATGTAGAGGATATGCATGTAGTTAATTATAAGAACAGCAGATTGAAATAAGGAAAGAATATTAATTTCCATGAAACAAATTTGGTTGTTTTCTTTCACTGTGTAAATTTGCAGCTTGTTCGAGTCTTGAGCTCGGTTGAATCAGCCACTAAGTGATATTGAGCTTCACCTAGAAAACCTCAAGTCATTGTTTCCTGTAGCTTGTGATTTTTGGGGAACGGACCAACATGCTCTGGTGAGCGGAACAAACTAAAGCCTGTCACACTAAACCCTGAGAGAAACCATTTTACGGTACCATTGTTAACAGCAAGGAAAACAGTAATCTTCGGCTCCCCTCTAATATTTTCACTCAGCAGAGTCTGGACAGAGTTTGACAGGCCTTACTTGCAGATAGCGAGCAGACAGTCCTCGATGGCATCCCTTTGGGCTTTGGTGAGTGAGCGGCCTTTGGACAGCCGGTAGATGGTCTGCAGCGTGGAGTCGATCAGCTGAGCGTAGTGGTCGGTGCTGGCGAAGAGGGCGGCACAGCGGGTCAGCAGAGGCAGCAGGGCCGAGCCGATGTATCTGTTCATGGCCAACGCCGTCTCAGTGGTGCTCAACACCTCCTGTGGGACGGAGAGCAACACATGCATGTCAATGTTAGCATAACGCTGGAGTGCTAAGATATTAAACCTGCAAGCAGAAAAGGTTTTGGTAGATAGATGTAGTTAAAGGCTGGTTATGGATATGTGGAGAAAGATATTAAGGACTCACCGTATCCAGAGATGCTGAGGCACGGAGGTCAGGCAGGAAGCCAACCTCCAACATCTGGAGCAGGAAGCTCTGGTCCTCGATTCCGTACACTCGGTCCAGGAAGAGCACCATGGGGGCCTTGTGGTCCGGACAGAAACAGGCTGACATGTCGGGCTCGGTCACTGTGCCATCTGAAGATTGAATGTATTTTAGTAATAATAATATTAACTTATAAAAATGAGTGATTGCAAGTAAAGGATTCTCAGCAGTAAAAATTCAGAAGGAACAAAGAAAAGAGAACAAAAGTTCATCTTTAAATACAGAATCGAATGAAACATGATTTATGTAAGTGTGCTGTGAGTGTGTATTTAAAGTAAAAACAAATTCAACACGTTGCTTTGCTATGACAACATGACCTACATAACGTACCAGCAAATCCTCTCAAACATTTTTCATGTTTCACAACTCTAAAGTTGGTTCAGCAAGCAGCAGAAAACATTTCCCTCTGACACAGCTTGTGTAAATTCAAATGTTCTAGCAGAGAGCTGTGTTCGTGCCTAACCATCAACGTTTGCATGAAGCAACAAAATAAAACAGCCGCCATGATAAAGACCGTACCTTTGTTAACCACGGGCATTTTGAGGGGGATGCTGATGACGCCCACGAGGTCTGTTGTCGGAACCAGAGAGCGCAGGATGGCTCTGATACGCAGAGCTTCACCTTTACCCGCGTTGATAAGCTGTAACATGGGGAGAAAAAAAAAATATATATATATATTAAACATATGCCACATCATTTAATTCAGATTGTGATGTATTCCTCAGCTCTCGTTGTTGTCATGAGCCTCACATGCATCTCCGGAGCACAACGTCCCAGCAGGTCGATAAGCGCTGAGTAGAAGGACATGATGGCGTTGCCCATGTGGATGATTTCTCCTTCTTCCTCACCAGACCTGAGACACACAGACACAAACATTCATGTGGTCAACAATCTCCTTACAGGCTACTATGAAATACATACTGATTTTGACCAGTATCCCAAATTCTCTTCTTCCTTCAGGCAATAATAAGCACCCCCCCCATTAAAATGCAGCCAGTGTGTTACAGTCTTTGCATATCAATGTGTGCAGGCGTGCACCAACACTTTTTCCCAAACTCATCTTCAATCAGTGTTCAAGTTTTGTTTTTGGCAGCTTCACGCTTCTTGTAAAGCTATAAGCAGATAAGTCCCTCTGTGTCTTTGAGCTAAATGTGTGTGTCAAAGCCACTTTTCACAACTAAAGCCAATGGATGAATTACAAAGCCGCTTTGCACAAAGCAACAGGAGGCTCAAAGGGCTTTTCAGCGTCTAGTGATGGTCTCAGAGGCTTTTCAGATTTGTGAGGAACTGGTTTGGATTCCTACCCAGTCGTGACTCCGACGGGGGTCTTTGGCAAGTCCAGAGCAGGGTCCTCAGCGATCTTGATGGCCTCCTTCATGGCGGCCAGCAGACCCTGGCCTCCCTCTCCCCTCAGGGCCGGGCCGAAACACTCAGGTCGTCGGATCAGCAGCTTCACCACCACATTGGCATTTTCCTCCACGCTCTCCCCTGGTGCACAAACACAGCAGGCAAAGGGAAAGTGATAATTAAATCAGCCATAAAAGGACAGAGTGAGGTGCAGGGTGGAAAACAGGGACATGCTGCCCAGCGCTTTCCAAAGGGGCTATTTCATATTATTATTATTGCAGAGCCAACATTTCCCATTATAGCCACAAGCCCGTATTTTGAAATGATTAAAATTCTTAACAGTGAATCTCAGGCTGTTTGTTTTCTTTCTCTCGTCGCATTGTTTGCTTCTATAGCACATTTTCCACATGAAGGTTGATAATTAATAGACTTGTTTAGTATGGTTACTCTAGGGCACCACCAGTAAACACAAATTTATTCATTCATTCTACGTGGTCAGTATGAAAGTCCACATACCGTTGCAGAAGACGGCGAACCTCAGGAAGGACAGGTAGCGCTCTCCCTCGATGGGGTTCCAGCCGAGGTCTGGGTAACCCTTGGCAAGCAACATAGCGCAGCTCTGAAGACCACAACCCGCCAGGTACATCACCACCTACACACAAACACACACCATTCATTGTGGTTATTTTAATGGAACATTATCATGCTGAAATCTTTCTGCATTTTTCTCTGAAACAACTGACTCACCACAAAATGTTTTTAATAACGTAAATTTCCATACTTCATATCATTATGCACTCATACATCATACTAATGACACCATATAACATAATGTGAACATTCTAACATGTGAATCAACAAAAACAAATAAACATTACAGTAATCATCACAATAGTATCTGTATTTTCCAGAAAACAGGCTACTATTTTTAAACCATACGACTATTTTGGCCATTTTTTGCTAAATTTTAACACAAAGTGGTTGAATCGTCAATTATTGTGTAGTTTTCCTCCATGTCTATTTATCACTGATATCATTAACCCCCTCAGGCATTTATTTGCAGTGAGCGATGTGTTCACTGCTGTGCTGAGCTCCTGATTTATAGTGCAGAGGTAACAAACCTTCTCCAGGTCAGGCTCCTCCAGGGCCAGAGCCAGGCCGTTGTTATCCATCACTGACGACGCCGCCACATCCAGCGGAGTGGAGCCCCGCATCGCTTCAGAGGCTGAAGACACAGACACACAAGTGTCACCAGCAGAGTCTGCACGCCTTTCATTCTTGACAACAGGGGGCAGTGTATCCACACATGCAATCCTGATATTCTCCATCCTCTCTGTTGGTCAACTCAGAACGATGTTGATGAACCAAATCAGGTCTGATCCTTTTGAACGAAAGCTTTTTTTTAAAAATTACAAATGACACCCTGATATTTTATATTAAGAAATGTGGACTCTCTTTGAATATTAGCTCAGATATTCATTGTATATAATAATATAACTAAAATTAGAGTTGGGATTTAATACAAATGTTGTCGAACCATTTTATAAAATCTTTAATCTCTTAATAAAACCAGCGGCAGGCTGTAGAGGTGCAGGTGTTCTAGTTGACAGCAGCTCCTGAGTCACCAGCACCCAGGCCCCGGTGACTCATCAGTCCTTCCCTGCATGACTAAGTTACACCCACCTCGTCCCCCATTTTCCTCCCTCTTTCACTTCCGTTCTTCTCCTGCCAGCAGCTGCTCTTTGCCCCTTTTATTCACAAAGTGATACCCAGTTATTTTGAATTACGGCCTGTTACTTTTCCTCACCAGGCACTTTTCGTAATGTTGCGTGATAAGTTCTATTTAAATTAGTTAAAAAACGTTTTTTTTTTTTTTTTTGCATCATCGGGAGCAACAAGAGAGCAATCTTTCATTTCTTACAGTCTGACAAAAACTTGAGGTGGAAGCAGTTTTTCAAGGTTTCACTATAAATATTCCCCTGTCAACGTTTCCTTCACTTTCTTCTGCTCATCGCTCATATTTAACCCTTTCATGCATGTTTAAACGTCTGTCATCTATCTCACCATACAACAGCAAAAGAGCAAAAGAGATCGTTTTGCATTTTACCCAGTCCGACGCTGCTGTTCTCCAGCAGGTAGCTCAGGTGGTCAAACATGGCTTTCTGGTTCTGGCGGCTGATACGACAGAAGTAGCACAAGAAACGACAACAGCTGGCCACCATCTTGGGGAAGGCAATCTCCTGTGGATGAAAAAATGAAAAAACCCATGTGAAGGTGTGCTGGGATAAAAGCAGAACCTGAGAAACTCTTTAATTTTCCCCCCGCAACAATTCAAATACAAATCATATGAGTCATTCTGAAGACGAAGTTTGTGAAGATGAAATCAAACGTTTTAAGGAGTCAAGAAGTAAAATGAATTTATCTTCGGAACACAACACCGGAAAGATTATTTCATGTTTCACATCCAACACCATTACCACTGTGTTTATAAGTGTGGGTTCATTTTCAGGTTCAGTCTGAGCACAACTCTGAGGGTGAATTTTTATCATTGAAGAGATGAAACTAAACTGCCAGTGGAATTGATGGATGCCAGAGGGAGGGGGACCATAGCTGCACCTATGACACTCTGCAAATATCCACAGCACGGAACATCATTACTTTTCAACTTCCAATTCTAAATACTTCAAGCTTTAAAGCAACTGTGTGGTTGTGCTGTGCATGATGGGAAATTAAAACTTTTATAATACATTCTGGATTCAAATAGCAAACTTTGAAACTTTGATTTAATGTTTAAACGTTATTCATTGTTCACATTATTATCTACACCAATGTGTATCTGCGTTTGTTTGTCTGTCTCTTTTGCAGCAAGATTAAACAAAAATTATAAATTAAAAATTATACCGAAACTTACTAACCCAGAATTCTGTGTGTGCAATTTGGTGCAGGTCCAAATAAAAATCAGGATCCAGTGAATATAAATGTGTTTTCATAAGACTGGGACTGTGGCTTTATAGTATAGTGCACCACTCCATGACTAAAACAACATTAGAGACAATCAAAGATAGTAAATATTGAAAACCTGAGATACATTAACAAGCTGTGCTGTTGTCTCTTTGTATGGCCACAGTAAATGAACCGCATATATCAAGTGGCAGTAAACCGGTGGGGAATTGATGTCTGAGACTTATCGGCGTGATCAGACTGCCGGAGTCAGATGTGAATGTTTCCCTGAGGTCTGTCTGTCTGAGTTTCAATTCATGCTTAGCGCTCGCTGGGGCAATAAATCACAACCATCTCTTGCAGCTTCTGTCAGCACTGCCCGATATGGAAAGGCCTCCCTCGTACCCCCGTCAGGCCATTGTCTACTCCTGGTTCATTCTACTGTCCTCTCCATTACCCGTGTGGTTTTTCTGGGCGTTAGGTAGTTGCTCTTGGCTCTTCGTCACCTCTCGGGATAAATGTTGCGGCACACAACATTCAGTCTATGCCAGGACTTTTCAGTCAAATCCTTCAAAAAGCTAAATTCAGGATCGAAGTAAAGAACTAAAAGTTCCTCAAAGAGTTAATATTACTTAGAATACAGCCAGAGTTCAAATTCATTTGGTTCCAGATTCTAAAATGAAAAGTTTTTTAAGTTTTATTGTGCACTGGGAAACTGTGTGGGATGTTTTAATTATTTTCTGATAATTAATTGACAAAAAGATTAACCAAGAAAATAACTCGCAGGTTAATTGATTCTCATTCGCACCTGTGACTTGTCTCCTCCCAGCACATTGACCATGACCTCCATGACGGTCTCGTGCATGCCCAGCACCCTCATCAGGTTGGGATGTTGGTAGAAAACCTTGTTGTTCATGATGTCGCTGGGAACAAAAGACATTCATTTCATATTTATTGTTTCTATATTTAAAGCCGTTATGACAACACACTGAATACTGGAAATACTGCAGGGCTGAGGAAATATATCCAAGTGAGTAACAATCCAAAATAAAGGAGAAATGTACAATAACCATTATTATTGCCTTAACCAATGTCAGTGCATTTACTGGAGGATTGTTTTCTTACCCGAGTCCATCGATCATGAGTTTCTCCTCCTCTTTGCCCATACGCACTGACAGCAGAGACCTAATTTGACCCAGCGATACCAACAGGTTTATAGCATCCTGCACGGACGCAGCACTGATGGTGTAGGATTTCTTCATGGCCCGGAGCAACTCCCCGATGCCGTCGTACTGCCGCCTCAGCAGGCTGAACATCACTCTGACCAGCTCTGGGTCCTGGATGTGAGACTCCTGGGCCCAGCTGGTTATAGTCTGGGAGATCAGCTCCTTCAGGTTGGCTGGGAAAAGTGAGGGAAATTTTACAGAGGCAGAAAATTAGTGCTGCTTTGCTCCACAAACAGTGTGTTCCTGTGTTGGATTGCTTGGGGACTATACTTCCACACAATGCAGTGCCACTCGCAGCAAAGAAGGTGCAGTTGTGCTGCCACTGGATTTCATACCAATTATAAAAAAGGTGTACTTGCCAGTTATTTCCAAATTGACAGATCGGTCAGAGATGGATTGATCGTTGATGTCAAACTTGAAGAAAAGTAAATCTCTTTTATCCATCTATCTAATAATTCCAGAAATCTCTGTATGTGGAACGCATATAAGAAACTTTCATCTCCTCACCTTCACAAGGAAGTGTCGTGTTTAATTTAGTGCCATATGAACACTATTACTACTACTACTGCAGCAGTGCTGGCCGGGACAATGTAGAGCAACAACGTCTGGGTTGAGTCCTGCAGTCGGTCTTTACTCAGTTACTGCAGGTCACTTTTACAGTTTCAGAAAAATAATCTCTCGGGCCAAACAAAGTCAAACTTAACCCCGACACACAAACTGTCTCTTAATCTGCGTGTCATGAATCACATTTTGTATTTTTCATCACTATCCTCAGCAAAATGCATCTACCAAAAGAGCCACGACTACTCTCCTCTCCTCTCTGCCCTTTAGTCACTATCACTTCTTAAAGTAATGGTTGTATAAACTTTTCACTCGAGAAAGAGTACCTTGTAATAAAATGTGGGAAACTGTTTCCAAGGACTGTTGATAAATATCTGTGGGGTTTGTGGTCCCAGCATCTCAGAAAGATTTTTTGCTTTAACACAAGGAATACCGCCCGTCTACCTCATGTTTTTTATCCACATTTATAGCAATACAAGACAGCTATAAAGAGGTGGATGTAAATTAAACCACAACTCAGGACGGGAGATGTTCATCCGAAGCTGTAAATCTGTGTGATCCTTCAAGACTTAATTCTAAACAGGTCGTATCAAACTTTAATCTTAAAGATGACAACAATAAAACAAGAGGCTACAGAGGAACACGGTGACCTGGAGTGATAAATGTAGCCTGTAGCTTAACGCTGCACCTCTTCAAATGATAACACTGATACTATCAACTCCGAGAGTTAAAATCAATAGTCCAATACGTGTACAAGGTCTGCGATGATATGAGATTTTCACGATATGAAAATATTCTAATTTCATGGTATCACGATAGTATTTGGTATCTCGCAAGTATTACAAATTGAGGAATTAAGTGAATTCAAGTGTGTACTGACACAACGAGTTAAGTATTACAAAATAAAAGTACTATTTGCAGAAAACACATTATGTGATGATTACACATGCATTAATGTGAAGTACGAGGGGTCAGATTAGTGTCAGCCTGTGCAGACAGACAGCAGATGATGATATAAATTAGATTCTTGGTTCAGTTGCACCAGTAATATATAATAGTGTGAATTCTCATACTGTGAAACAGGTAAATAACAACCTGGAGCAAACAAAGGTTCAGATTCGAGCAGAATCCTAATGAGAGACAAACAGAAAGAGAGCGAGACAGCTGCCAGGATGAATGTAAATGTCTCCCTGATAAACATCTGCTCTGCGTCGTCTACAACAGTGGCTCACGTGGGAGTCATCACCGACACAGAGAGTGGTCCGCAGGCTAATCTGCAAATGGCCACAGACAGTCAGTATGGTGTCCTTTACTGAAAAGTGTCCGAACTCAGTTTTGGACGCACTGATAAACTGTTTGACAAATTAACATTGCTAATTGAATCAAATTAGATCCACAACACGGCTGCATTGGTACAAATTCAATGTTTTTATGCTAAACAATGAACTGCAGGTAATGGATGTCATTAAATCATATTTCAGATTAGACATTAATGACATTAACATGTTAAAAGTGGAATCGTCTGAAAGAAAACCCGCTTGTTTCCTCCCACATAAATATTATATGCACTCCAACATGATCTTCATATGATGGAGATGAGTTAATGCACGTCCATAAGTCATCTGGAATCACGTCACCTGTCCACTTCTAAAGCTTTTCAATAATGCAGGCGAGGTGTGGGAGGCTGGAGTCAGGCATTAAAATTTATAGCAGACAGTCTCCCAGCATCTGTCCATTAGTTTTCTATTATTTGGAACAGACCATAGCCACAGGACATAAAAAAAGAATGTTGAAACCACTGAGCCCAGAATAAAGCAAAGATAAAGATCGGTGATTTTCTATTAAATTTATGATGAAGAATTTCATGCTTAAATCTGATTTCTCTAAAAACAATATGATGTTTAAAAATAGTATTTTTCAGATCGACATATTCATTTAGTATCTCCATTGGTTCACAGCTTCTGTCATTTTAAATACGCCTACTTCATAAATCGAAGCTTAGGCCACGTTTAAGTCAGGAACGATTTTAATATTTTCTTTATGACATGTTAATCACGGTTTGACTGTGAACTTAAATCTTCAGTGCAGCTATTGTTCAGGATTTTCTGTTGGATTACCGGTTAATATTAAATACTGATCCCTCAGAAACCCATAAGCCAGGTTACTAGCCCTCTTTTCTTTTTTAAAATGTTCTTACTGGGAGGAGGCTGTTCTGTCTCGGTGGGTTCCTCTTCTGTCTTCTGAGGTGGACCCTTGATCTTGTAGAGCAGAGCGAGGAGACGGCCTTTAATCGACGTGTCCTGCTCCTCTTCTTCCTCCTCCACCGGAATTCCTGCAAGATGGTCGACGCAATCTCAACATCGAGTGTTTAAATGTGCACAAAGTGAGAGGTCCCGGCCTTTAAGTTCATTTACATTGAAGGAGGCTAAGTGTAGTAGCGGAAAGCTTTAATAAAAATGAGTTGTACCACAGTGTAGTCGCAGTTCTTCATGGAAGGAGTTGAGTTCTTCCTGGATCTCCTCGGGACAGGGGCAGTCCTCCCCTGCAGTGAAATTCAACAGGATGTTGATCTGCAGTAAAAACAGAAGGATAAGAAGAGCTGTGAGAGAGGAGAAGGGAAGAGAGAAATGTATAAAACACTGAATATAAATAAGATGTTTTCTCAGTCGAAGGAATTTGCAAAGTCCAGTTTAGGCTTCTGTGCTTTCAGTTTTAAAATAAACCACGGGAGGAACATTCAGGGATCTTGGAGAACACTGCAGACAGTGTTCACCTGCTGCTGACCGTTACTACTTATTTTGTGCAGCTGTAGTTTGTGTTTTCCTTCAAGGCTTTGAAAGTCTGGGGGAAATACAATTAAAACACAATGAACTTGAAAGAATTGCAGTCACGCAGATCTCAACCAGCTACCGCTCTGTGTGCAAGAGCTCTAAACTTTCCACATAAACAAGTGCTCTGCACACAAGCCGAAGCAAAACTGATACAGGGCATGAAGAATAATGATGTACCTCTCTCTCTCTCTCTACTCTGGCTCTGAGACACACTAAAAAGAGAAACGGGTGTTATGTGAAGACTGCTCATTAGATACAACAATCTGAGCCTCGGGCACTTCAGTGTGCTGACAGAGTTACACACGGAGCTGCACAACACTGAGGGCTCGGGTGGAAGGAAGCGCACAACTGAGGTCTGTTTATGGGCTTCAGTTTGTGAGATCCAAACAATACTTCATCACAGACACTCGATAAATATTTCAATAACTACTTTCTGTGCTTCTTAAACTATAGAAAGCGGGAAAACTAAACTTTCCACGGTGGGAATCCATTGATGATGAGGTAGGATACCCTGCATGTCCAGTATCTGCACTGGATAAAATAAGATTTATCTCCATACAACCCTGCTTGCACAGAGATCCTCTGGCGGGGGGGCCTTTTAACTGTTCCCTATTCTCGGCTGAAGCCTAAGGGGAGCTCTGAGGCTGAAGAAATACAGCAGGCTGAGTCAATAGCTTCCTTTAAATCAAAGCTTAAAACTTACTTCTATCATCCCTGAAGTTGGCTAACTCTAGTTTTTCTTATTGTTGCGGGTGGTCATGCTTGAACGTCTATCACACTTTAGTTTTTTTTTCTTTTATGACTGTGTTCTTATTTATTTTAAGTTATTTTTTCAGTTGTTTTACTTGTAACAGCACAGTTGTATCAATACTTCAACCAGATAAATATATCTGGTATTCACTTATTGCAGACACTGGAAGCAGTGACAATTAGTTTTAAGCATAGTATGTATCTTAGTCAAAGTTTAAACCAAATGTAAGATGCTTATTTCATGTGTTTATGTTTTAAATATCAAGTATGAGCTGATACATCATGAACAGATTTTTAAAATAGGATTATTGGTCCCATATTTAGGCTATTCATGAGGCTGTGACTTGATTAAGTGCCCTTATTTTAAAGGTTACGTTATTTGTTCCCGTGAAAGTGGATCCAGAAGTCCTTGGACTGACCATTTGCCTGGATGACAAGGCACAGAGACGGCAGAGTCTGACCTCTTTAGAGTCACAGAGCCAATTGCTTCAAGATCTGCAGTGAGAGCGAGTAAAAACCTCAAGGGGACATTTTGGTCTGAGCGGTTCACGCAGTAGACAGACTGCTCCGTCTGCTTGGTTGATTCATGTTGTATCCTATGTCTCACTTTGCAATCTGTTTGTGTTTTGTTTTAATTTAACGCCGTCCAGTGGATTGGTTCTACTTGACATTTGAAGAAAAACTGCATTGTGTTAATTTCCTCTTCTATTTGTAAGTTTGTCGTCTGGCTCCAAGTTCAATTTAACCTCTGGTCTAAAGAAAAGGAACAACCGAAAGTAAAAAGGTAATACTCCAAAACTTTCAAATCTGCTGTTTTCACTCATGGTCATTGATTTTTTCTTTCACCCCAAGGTCCAAGTCTTTCCTTCTGAGGTTTTGTTCCAGTACAACACCTTCAACAACCTTGAACATAAATCACATCTCAAAATGGATGTCAGGAATTTCTCATAAGCTCTTTGGCAACGCAGGACTGTACCTGCTCCTGCGGCGGAGAACGAAACTCTTTGGTCTTCTTGGCAGTGACAGCGGCGGACATGTTGAGCGCCAGCATCAGCTCGTTGTAGCGAAACTTCTGGTTGAACTGCAGCTTCGACACAAAGCTGTCAGAGAATGAGACGATGGCCTCGATGCGGTGCTTCAGCTCGCAGTCACAGAAGTAATGCAGCAGCTCACACATCTGAAAAACAAAATCTAAAAATGAGATGAACTCAGCAGGAGTGTGAAATAAATATAGAATTAAACTTTCTCTTTCTCTGCTGTATTTGATGTGTTTTGTTGATTCCAGAAACTTCACATAATATCTTACTCAATCTCCTTCAAGCATGTGTTAAATAGTTTTTTATTTCATTTTATTGTTTACAGGATTGTGAACGTTTTGTCACTGATAAAAACGTCTATGAATTATTGAACCAAATAAGATGTATTGTAATATTTAATATCTGGTTTAAAATATGGGAGTGAATGTTTTCATGATTATTTTCATCACCTGGCGTTTCACAGGCTCGGGCAGTGACTTCTCCAGCAGACCTTTAGCTGGCGGTTTACTCTCTTTGGTCTCCTCTTCTCCCGCCTCCACGGCCTTCTCTTCGTTCTTGCTTACCTCCTCCTTCTCCCCCGCCGCGGTCACCTCATCCGCCTTCCCTTCCTCACCCTCCTTGGACTCTCCAAACACATTGGGGTCAATAAGGAGGAGAATCAGCCTCACTTCCTCGCTGGTGAGGACTCCCATGATTAACAGCGTTCCAATCAGCTTCAGAATGGGGACGAAGTGGTACTTGACGCTCCCGCCCACGGGGTCACGGATGTGTGTGCCTCCGCCCTGCACAGCCTCGGTGAGCATGCTGATGGCTTTCTCTTTCAGGATGCCCAGCGGGATCTGGGGGCTATAGAGGTACTGGTGTTGTTTGGTGTCGATGATGCCGACAGAGGAGAAGTTGACGCGGGGTTTGAGGGAGGTGCTCAGGCCCACACCAGGCAGTGAATGCCGTTTGGATTCGTCTGGGAACAGCTTGATTGAGCGAGTCTCATCCGTCACAGGGATGATGAACTCGTTATTCATCATTAGGCGAGCTTCCTTCGCCGTCTCAAGATGGATGCTGGCAATGAGAAGAAGAATCAGGCCTACTGTTGTGTCTAGCACCCTCTGATATTTTTTAAGTCTAAAAAGTTGTAAAAAATGTGCATTTAGTAAGATTTCTGCAGCCCCACATCACAAAATTACCATAATATATGTGTGGGAATTTACTGTGTTGTTAATCAATATCATGACTCAGCGACTTCCTCGACGAGATGCTGAGTTCTCAAACTCTTTGTGTCCAATAATGAAACTTTGGAGACAGAACTCTCCACCCACAGAGACAATAACTTTCTCCAATATCACTGCATTTTCAGTAATAATGGAGGCAAGCACATATTATTCAATGTACACTGTGCATGTATGAGCATTACGTAAGATTATATTACACGGATCACACAGGTTATTATTATTATTATTATCAAATATTAACTTGCAGAACTGTAAACTTTCATTCTGAATCACAGACGTCTGCCTTTACTATTTTCTTGTTTATTGATTGTTACTGTAAGTGTCAGTCCAAGTCACACACCTGATGAGGACATTGTAGAAGCCCTCTCTCAGCATACCGGACAGGTACTGGTTGTCGATGGTGTAGAGGAGCTGTGACTGATCCATGTGGCTGCAGAGGGCGTGAGCTACACGAGTGTTTCCCAGAGCGCACAGGGCACAGTACAGCTTCAGCGTGTGGTAGTGGAACTTCCTGAGATCTTCATGTTCAGATAACTCCAGGATGTCCAGACACCTGGAGGGAAGACAGGGGAGGGGAAAGATTAGATAATGCAAGTTGGTAATCGGCCTAATGATTGTATTGATAATGCAATTAATTACCAAGGAGTGGATAGCTTTTCGTTTAGTAATTTGCATGGGATGTCCAAACCACTTGTTAGTCATAAGCATGACAGCAGCAACACAATGACAATCGAGACAGAACTATAAGCTGAAATGAAAACCATCCTTGTAGCCCACCTGTTCTCCTCAGGTATGTGAACAGCCATTATCTGCAGCGGCTCCAGACACTGGACCACCCAACCATGCCGCTCACTGACTCGAGCCGTCTCCACGCTGAGGAAGGTGTTTGGCATCCGGCTCCAGAGTACGGCCACGATGGTCTGCACATCCAGTCGTGGCGGGCACTGCGGCACCGGGTTCCTGTGCTCGCTCTTAAATATGGCCGATGAGAGCGGCATGGCGTCCTGGGTGCAGAGAGAAATAGAGAGCGAGTAGAGAGAAAAGACAAAAGATAATATTAATTCAAGGAGCCAATTACAAGGAACATTTTACTCGCTTGAACAAACACTTCTAAGTGATACGTGGTGCTTTAAGAGTCAGGCTCAAGACGAATAAGAAAGAACATGACTTCATTAATATTTCATTCGCAGATGGATGAGCGATCACTAGAGCACATGTCTCCACCGAGGCCCACACTGACCTGTGTAGCAATTATAATAGAAAAAGTAAAGAAAACATGTATGACTATGGCTTTAGTATTAAGTTAAGAGATTGTGATTAATACTACACATCACCACTGTACACCACATCATGCACAGTTTTAGATTTACACAAAGAAATAATAACACAAACCTTGATCTTGACAAATTCAAACTGGAAGAGGTTTGCACTGGTGGGGCGCACGAACACAGCTGGGAAGAGCTTAGTATTTGGCTCCACCTGAAAATATATCATCATGTGCTTAATTAATACAGTCTGTGTTTGCAGTAGACTCATGGGATTTAAAGATATATTCTGTTCATATGCAGGTTAATCTTTTGAAAAGGTTTAGAGGCTGATCAGAGATTCAGGAGCAGTGTTTTCAGTGGGGTTTTATAACTTTGCAGAACTTTTACATACGTGTCTCCTTTAAAAATACAAACAATGCAACACAATAATGTCGCAAAGGGACGGAGATGAACCTGCAGCCGCTGCAGGAGGACTCGAGCCTCAGTACATGGATCGCACTAAACCAGGTGAGCTATTGTCATGTTGATGCTGCCCTGATTCTCAGATTCATTAAATTGAAAACTATCAGAAGGCATTGAACCACTAGGCCTACGGATTAGCCGGTGTTGTAAATGCCAGTAATAATGAGGATAACTGGTGAACTGATAACAACCATCAAAAAGATAAATACAAAGCGAGGGAAAAAAGAACCAGCTCTTTGATGCAGTAACAGGACAAGAAGCTTTTCATCAGGGTAAAAGCTTCTTGATCCTCCTTTAAAAAAATGCCAATTCACGACTAAATCAAAGGGTGAGAAGAAAAGAAAATGAGACAATAACTGAGGTAAATACAGAACAAGACTTGATGGAAGATTCACGAGGATTTGAATGTCTAGTCAGGGATTCAATACGATGTGTTTAAAACCTGACATCGACGAGGCGAGACAGAGATTACTGAGCAGTCTTTCTCTGTATGACAACAAATCAGAATTCAGTTGTATCACGGCCCAGCTGCCTGTTTGCAGATGTAATTTACTGCAGGACTAATTTGTTCACATTACCTGGGGGTGATAGAAAGGAAGATCATCTCAGTGTGTGCAGGCAATACAAATGTACCTGACTACCATCTTTCCAAGAGACAGATTAGAACAAACTAAAATCACTCGGAGCCACGTTTTTTAATAAGTTACCTTATCCTTTCTTTGTTTTTCCAGGTGAATTAGAAAAACACAAACTGTATGTCATCTTAAAGTAGACACGCATAATGACATACACATACTTTAATTCTTGTGTCAGACTGTCCTTGTGTCTGAGTCCTTTCTATCAGTTCCCACTACCATGTCTCAGTTACTGTTATCTACCTGATAAGTTGTAGGCAGCTCTTTTCCATTGGCGGTGAAGGAGACGAGGCCGGTGGCAAGGTCAATCAGACAGCCGATCTCCAGGTCGGAGCTGGTGCGGCTGGAGGAGGACGGGGCGACGGCATCTGCTCCACACACCATGTAGCAGTTGCTCCTCTGGACGCTGCAGCACAATCACAGCATAAGATTAATCCATGCGGACAACACAGGACAACAAAGACGACGGATAAACGAGGAGCATGTGCGCAGCAACTTTTCATTATATCCCAAGTTCATCGATCTGTGTTGATTTCTGACTCCTTCCTCATTTATATTCATTTCGTGATTCACTGAGGCTCTTTTTTCCATTCGCTCAACTAAATATTGAAGCAGGATGGACACCGGCAGATAGAAAAGGTCAGTCAATGTAATTTATTGTTATGTTGCTTGTGGTTTCAAACTGGTGATATAAATTTGCAAAATGAGATCATTCATTTGAATGTAGGACCACAACTTGAAATGTAAAAGAAGTTGTGATTTGCATTGTTCAATTTCTTATTTTACCTGAAATACTACGGCGTCATTAGTACC